TAAGTGCATTAAAACATTCATCACTGTGCTTTCTTCTTTTTTTCCCCCCACTTTATTTGTGTAAAATATCACAACCATGGCTCCTAAGAAAGTTAGTGATACCAGCAGTAAAACTAAGAGGAAAACTGTGAGAACCGTGATAGAATTAAAGAAAGAAATTATTGTGAAATTCATTAAAGTTCTGGAAAAATGAATTTATTAGTGTACTTTCTGGACCTTAGAACCAATTATTTTGTTTTCCATGATTTCTCACCAGAAAAATACATTCAGTTTTTGTACTTCTCGGTGTTTGAGCATGAACTTGGAATACACTGAGTTTGACAACTGAGGTTTGACTGTCCTTGGTGTGACTCTTACACCAACTGCTATCTTTGAAAATTGATAATTAAGTGGAAGTAATGATTTCTTCTTGCCTCTTTAGGACAAACCCTTCGTTCATCTAGATGATGAAGCAAAGCTCTCTTTTACAGAAGAATGCTAGCCAATAAATGTACAGAGAATGAAAAAATGAGAAAATCATCAACTTGCAATCCTCAGCAAAGAGACTGACCCTGGTAAGGACCATCAAAGGGTACCACAGCCATGAGGTGAAAGGTCCCTGGTGAAAGAAGAGTCACAAGGAGACTGGATACCTTGGGACAGAACCTATGGCACACGCACCACTGCAGGCTGTTTGTATCACTGAAAGCTCTAAAAAGTTCACCATCATTGCCCTTGAAGAATGGACACACACAATCTACAAAGACTGAATTGTGGACAAACAGAAAATCTAAATAGACCAACAGGAAGTAGGAAGATTGAAGTAGGAATCAAAAATCTATCAAAGAAAAGTCCAGGACTCAACATCCTCACTGAATTCCACTAAACATTTAAAGAAGAATGAACACCAATCTTCAAATTCTTATAAAAAATTGAAGAGGAGGGAATATTTCCAAATTCATTCTATGAGCCCAGTATCACCATAGTATTAAAACCAGACAAGGGAACTACAAGAAGAAAAATTACAGACCAATATTCTTAATGTGCATGGATACAAAAATCCTTAGCAAAATACTAGCAAACGGGATTCAACAGCACATTAAAAAGATGATAAACCAGAAATGATAGCATGTACCGATGTATCGGTACATGGTGCTACTGGGGAGGCTGAGGCAGGAGGATCACTTGAGGCCAGGAGTTTAAGGTTAGCCTGGGCAACACAGTAGGGCCCCATAGATAGATAGATAGATAAACAGATAGATAGATAGGATCATTCACTTTGATCAAGTGGAATTTATCCCTAAGATGCAAGGATGATTCAACATATGCAGATCAATAAATATGATACCTCACATTAACAGAAGGAAAGGGAAAAAGCCTACAAAAGGAAAGACATGCCTATAGGATAGAGAAATCTCCTTTACCAAGTAGTCACAATTAGCATTACTAGTGGTAGGCTGTCTCCTGAGGTGGTACAATACCCGATACAACATAAAGTTCAAGGTATGGCCTATGATGTGCTCTTGCTGAAATGTTCAATCTGAATGAATCAAGTCCTCAGCCATGACTTCCACTTTACAGGAAGCACATGGTACTGAGAAACAAGCTCCATGAGACCACGAGAACATCATCAGACCAATCAATCCAAAAAGTTAACATTCAGTAAGACGTCTGGCCTCATACGTCCAAAACAGGAAAAAAGAAGTAGGAATGGTCTAGACCAGTGACAGTGCACCTTTTAGAACTTTCAATGATATAAACAGCTTGCTGAGGCACGCATGCCATAGGTTCACCACCACTGGTCTAGACTAAAAGATTCTAGAAAGACAGACAAGTGTCTCAACCTGGATTGAACAGGTTCTGGCTTAAGTGTAAAAGAAACCTTTGTAAAAGACAACTAGGGGAAATTTGAACATGGAATTGAGTTATTAGATTGTCTTATTATCTTAGGGATTACACTAGGAAAATACTTTTAAAATTTTTAGCTGCAAGACTATTGTCATGGTTATAGGGAATGTTTTTTTATTTTTAAAAAATTTGTCTTAAGACAGGGTTTCACTATGTAGTTCAGGTTAGCCTTGAGCCCACTATGTAGCTCAGGCTGGTTTTGGACTCACAGTGATCCTCTTGCCTCAGCCTCCCAAGGGCTGGAATTACAGGCATGTGCCACCATGCCCAGCTGGGCATGTCATTTTTTTTGGGGGGGGCATGTCATTTTTAAAACTTACAATACAAAGTATTTGAGGGTATAAGTCTTGTATAGAACATATTTTCAAATGGCTCGGGGGAAACCCTACACATTATATATCACCAAACCAATGAGGCAAAATAATAATTGATACATCTAGATGGTGGGTGTAGGAATGCTCACAGTCCTGGTTTTTCACATTTTCTTTATGTTTGAAAATTTTCATGTTAAAAACATAAGAATGAGGACTGGGGATTTAGCTCAGCGGCAAAGCGCCTGCCTGGCAAGTGCAAGGTTGTGAGTTTGGTTCCTGGTACCAGAGAAAAACCAAAAAAGAAAAAAAAAGAAAAACATAAGAATGAAAGGAACATAAGAATGAAAGTTTTTTCTTAATGAGCGCGATGTGGGGAGAAGACTGATGGAAATTTAGAAGTTATAAAGATTTTCCCTTATTGTTCATGTGATTCTGTTCCCCTAGGGTAATCCAGGTATTGGGCAAGGTACTACAGACAGGGAGAGGAGGACAGCAAAGCAGTGCCTGCAGGCACTTACTTTCTAGGGGAGGGGGACATACGGTTCCAACACGGGGAAATGCGTGGGATGAGAGATATGCAGCTACTCAACGAATATTCATGGAGTTCCTACTTCATGCTAGGTGCTACGCTGGGTGCTGAAGACAGGATGAGAACAAGGCCAGTGTGGTCTCTGAGTCCACAACGCTCCTGTTCCTGAGAGGGAGTCAGAACCATGGAATCCTAGTCATGATGAGTGCTGGCCTAAGATGTACAGTACCACAGTCACACAGAGGGAGGAAACGCGTCTAGCTGAGCAAAGGGGCTGGATGTGGTGGGAAGCCTCCGCGAAGTCTAAGCGTTGACTCCTTAGAACTCAACCCACCCATCAGCGGGCAGGCAGTGGAAGAGTGAGGTGTGTAGACCTCAGACAGCCCCGTGCTCGGGGAACTAAATGGGGATGGGACTTTGGGAGCATGAGATGAGACAGGCAGGGAAAGAGCCCTTAGGCTCAGGGGACGGTGTAGGTGGGTGTGACTTGTTAACAAGCTGATTTAGGAATCTGGGCTTTCTCCTGTAGGCGCAGGGAGCCGGGAACATTCGCACAGGGAGGTGCCTGCTGCTATACTAGGCTGGACACAAATGGGGCAGCGCTTCTGCTGTTCCTGGCCACATCCCTTCATGCCCCGGATGCCTGACCCCTGGGCTCTGCACCTCCACTAGCTTGGAGAGCCCCAGGGAGCTTCTAGGGTCAGCTCCGTGCCAGTGGGCAGCAGGATGCGCTTCAGATCCCGTGCTCTGGGAGCCTCAAGCACCCGGGGCTGGGACAGAAAGGCGGCTCCGAGGGGCGAGGCAAGAGGCCCACCCTGGCGGAGGGTCAGTTTCTCCTAGGCCTCCACAGAGGGTCTTTCCAGGGCTAGGAAATGAGCAGAGGTTGCATCTTGGCTAATTTAATTTCCAAGAAAGAGGTGGCTTTTTGCCACAGCCACACGCAAGTCAGAAGGAAAACCACTCCTGTCTACTTTACATGACGGCTGAAGTTATTTGACTCCATGGGTGCCTTCTCAGGCCTCAGACAGTGACTATAGGTTCATCCTTTTTATCCTGTCCGCACTGAACACACGGCTGCATGAATCAGGCTTTTCAGAGTATGTGGTGCTGAGAGATTCACAGTGTCACACGCTTGCTTGCCTAAGCTGTGGGGACAGACTTTTTAACTCCCTTAGCTATCTCCCCTGGTCTGCCCTGTATCTCTGGGCTCCTACCTCCAGACCCTTTTACTGGGGTTCAGTTAAAAGGCCTGACTCTGGCCCTAGAATCCTCGGACCCCATACTCTCCTGATGAAGTAGATACTCGCCCACCAGGGGATAATCCTGCAGGACCCTAATAGCTGCAATCGGGCGCACAGAAGTCCCAGGGGAAAGAGGGCTCTTACTAAATGCCCCTTGGCATTTCCTAGAATTCACAGGTTCTGCACTGTACTCTGTACTCTCCTGGTAGTAGATACTCCATACTATTAGCTCCTTAAAGCAGGAGCAAAACCGCAGTACTGAAGGGCCTTGGCATTTGGGATGCAGCCTAAGACATCTGGCTGAGGACGAGCTCAGGACTCAGGCAAGGCTGACAGGTGCCACAGCAGCTCCAAGCCACCCGTGAACCAGCAGCCCAGGACAGGCAGCAAATAAAGATGCAGGCAACTCCAGGAAGAGTGTGTGAAGCCCACAGTTCCTGAAGGTGAGTAGAGCAGCCGGCCCTCCACTCATCTCAAACCAGGTCAAGAGAGCCTGTCCCCAGGAAATCACACCTCCAGGAAGCCCACATCAGCAAGTGTGTGTGTGTGTGTGTGTGTGTGTGTGTGTGTGTGTGTGTGGTGGTGGGGGGCTGCTTTACCCCGAGTCAGAGCTAAGCCATCTGGGCCCATAAGCCGACCCAGAGACGATGGCACCCAGGGCTCCGTGGGGACCCCCCTCCATGGGTAGGTGGCCCCGTCTCAGGGGGAGTGGGATAAGCTTTTGGGGGATGTTTGGGTTAGCTCAAGGTGGGGGAGTCTCCTCCAGACGAGGGGGTGGCTGGCGAGGATGGCCCATGCAGTTCTTCCTCCCTGACCCCAGGCATCCCCACATCCAGGCCCCTCTCTCTGGTCCCTAGTCCCGGGTCCTTGTCGGGTCCCCAAGCGGCGGGCTGGGGCACTGACTGTCACCACGTTCTGACTCTGGGACGGCGCGGAGCTGTTCCCCCGGCGCTGGGACGCACTGGATGCCCCTGCCCGCGGAGTTGTCGCGCGCTGTCACTCCTCGGTCGCTCCCCGGCCCGCGCCTACCTGTGCCCGCGGCTCGGCTCCTCCTCGCTGGCGCTGCCCCAGCCGGGGCTGAGGAACCGGGCCGGGTCCCCCGCGCCCCGCGTCTCCAACCCCTCCTTCTCGTCCTCCAGCTCCTCCGCATCCTCGGCCTCCTGGATGGCGACGCGGATCTGCACGGTGGCCTCGGGCCGGGGCACGGCCTCCTCCTCGCCAGGCTGGGCCATGGCGCGCGGGGGACTAAGGCACCGCCGGGGTCCCCGAGCCGTGAGGCCGGGCCAGCAGGGCGGCGACGGAGACCCAGCCGAAGACGGGGCGGGGGCGGCGCGAGCGCGTCCCCGGGAGGGGCTGGGAGCGACGGGAGTGCAGGGGACCCGCCCCGCGCGCTGGCACCGCCCGGAGGCGAGGAGCGCGGCGGCGCGGGCGGCGGGAGGGGCGAGGTCCTGCACTCTTCGCGGGCGGGCGCGAGCCAGGCCTGTCCCCAGCGCGCGGCTGCCTGCGCGGGGAGGGACACGCACATCTGACTCCCAGGCCTGGCTTCACTCTGGGGACAGCGGACACCGGCGACAGCCCAAGGGCTGCTGTGATTCTTGCATGTCTCCTTCACTGACCTGCCAAGATGGGAGAAAATCGCCACTTTTAGTGTTTTTAACGTAGCCACCCTGCACTGCGTGTCTTAACGGGGTCAGGGACTAGGCCACTGCCATGCCCGACACCAGAGGTTCCCAAAGTGTGCTCCCGGGGCCTGCAGCCTCAGCCTTGGCTAGGGAGGTATTAGAAACGCAGGCCCATCCGGACCTCCTGGGTCCGGATCTGTGATGCAAAAGTTCAGGTTTTAACAAGGCCTGGAAGTGAGGCTGAATTTCCTTAAATTTGAAGACTACTGTCGCATAGAGAGGCCACTTTGTGCGCAGGTCACACTCCAATTTGTATTTGTCCGGGGAATAAAAGGAGACACTGAGGTGCTAGCATGTTCTAGGCCCCTGCCGCGATCTCACAGTGAGCTGTGAACTGAGTTTAGCTCCTCTTCAGATGTGGTCCAGCAATTACCAACAGGGCGCAGAGGCGAATGGGGCTTGAATCTAATTTCATGAAACCCTTAATTTAGGGCCTCCAACACAATGTAGGGTGTCACTTTGCCACCCTAGGACGCCAGAAGACTGGACCCTTTCATACACACACACACACACACACACACACACACACGCACACACACACACACACACACAGGGAAAACAGATTTGTGGAGGGCAATGTCTTGGTAAAAGGACATCACACAGGCCCCTGGGGTCTGAGCTGGGGCCAGCAAAGAGGAGGGACCCAGCAAGGACTGTCACCCTGCCCCTTACCTTTTAAAGTGGTGCTGGAATTGGAACCCATGCAAGGCAAGTGCTGTACCCCTGAGCCACTGAGCTATACCCCAGTCTCAGAGACCTCTCTTAAAGTTTCTCAGGAGTCTGTGTCCCTTCCTTCGTCAGGTCTCCTTTACTAGAGGTCCTAGAATAAGAGGAGGAGATGCCCTTTTACAAAGCAAAACTCATTATCTCCTTAGGTCCATCCGGGGTAGCAGAGATATCAGGGATTTATCACCACCGCCCACTATAATGGTTCACATTTGTACATCGTTTTAGTTTATCAAGAATTTGTATACATTGTATCTCAGGATTTCCAAATGCCTTAGCATAAGAAACCTCTAGGGAGCTGGGCATGGTGGTGCACACCTGTGATCCCAGCACTTGGGAGGTGGAGGCAGGAGGTTTGCTGTGAGTTTGAGGCCAGCCTGGGCTACATAGTGAGTTCAAGGCCAGCCTGAACTACACATAGCAAGACCCTGTCTCAAGAAAAGAAAAAAAAAAGAAGAAGAAAAAGAAGAAAAATCAAAAACCTCTGGGGACTCTTAAAAATATACATACTAAAAATAGTGTGAGAACTTATAGTTGCTGGGTGAATCAGATCTGCAGAAATCTTTTGTTTGGTTAGAATGTTATGGAAAAAGTTGAATTTAATGCAATTTCAATCCAAATATATCAGCCTGTGCGATTTCTAATATTTCTGACTCCCCACAAAGCAATTTTAGATCTAGAAAGATATTAGACATCATCCAACCCTGAGCTCCTCCCAGGAAAGAATGGGTACACCCAGAAGTATAAGCCTTTCAGCCAAGACCCTACTAAATCCTAGGTAAATATGAGGTGTCGCTTTGGGATATCAATTTTACAGGAATATTTGAGAGAAGAGTCATATGTATATATTAAAACAACTTGTAATATCTGTGAAATTGAATTCAAACCTAACCTGCATGAATTTTTAAAGGCAACTTCACAAAAGTTCCTCATGTGTTGCCTGGGGGTGGAGAAGATAGAAACCCCCATGTGAATTAGAGGTGCTTTGTGTAAGAAGCCAACTTTTAATCATTTAGCAAAGAAGGATGGTGAATCCCGGTGAGGCTTGCAAGGAAAGGCATATTCTGCTTCACTGCATCCCCCTTCATTCTGTTTAGGAGAGAGCCTTGCATTGAGAACACTTCTTGAATTAATTTGGTTGGTTCTACCCACACACCCTATCCTTTGTGTCCCTGGGGAAGGAAGCAAGGTTTCAGAGGTTTCAGCTCCTTCCTCCCCAAAGCCAGGGTACATGAGGGGCCCAGTCCCACCCAAGTCTGGCTCCAGCATCATGGCAGAGGTCTGCAGTACCATTGAGATGATTGCTGAGGTCCTCATGCTCTCAGCCTGAAGCTGGCATGTTTTCCTTTCTCTAGAGTCATTTTTTATACATCTTGAAATGGGAGACAGTCTTTTCCTCACCTGCTATGAGTGACATAAAAGGAAATATGTGACTAAAGCATCAGGATGGACTGAAGTTAGGGTGAAGCAAAATCTCAACCCTGAAAGACCTGTGCAGTAGTATAAAGAGTGCTGTTCTGGAATCAGTTAAACTTTTTTTTGTTTTGTTTTTTGTTTTTGTTTTTCTCCAGTACCAGGAACCGAACTCACGACCTTGAGCTTGCCAGGCAGGTGCTTTAGTTGAACTTATTTTTTAATGGTCACAGGCACTAGAGTTAGAAACTGAGGACTTGGAATAAGATGTTTAGTGTGGTAAAAGTGAGACAAGAGCTAAGAGTTGAAGAGAAGGATTAGGGAGGTACTCATTAAAAGGCTTGATTTTAACCGAAAGGCAAGAAGGCATTTTTATTGACTCCTTTCATTCTTTGTCAAGCATGTGGCCATACCAGGTCCTGTGCTACAGTTTCAAATGGTGAAGACATGATCCGCAAATACCAGAAGACAGGGGTGCCTGGAAAACAGTCTTCAACAGTAAGAGTGTGTCTACTGCAATAAGCGCTGTTACAGAAATTTGTACGAGAGGCATAGCCCAGAAAAATGTCACCAAGGATATCTTGAAGCTTACTAAAAACACAGCAGGCTATAATAGGAAAAACACTTGCAAACAGACCTGGATTCAGGTGCTAGCCTTGCTGTTTCTTAGCTGTATAAGCCCTCTGTCATCCAGATTTCTTACCTGTAAAATGATCTGTTTGATCCTGTCCTGATTTAGTTAAGCAAATGAATCAGATTAGATTATGGAAAATGTCTAGTTCATCCCCTGGCCCAGATGGTTGACTTCAAAAAGAGCTAATTTACTTAACCACAGGACTGAGGTTTCTTATGAGATTTGCCATCCATATCTATTCTTCACTGTTTAGTAATATCAATTTCTAGTTTTAGATGGATATATGGCCACCTAATTAACAATTATATTTCTCAGCTTGCCTTGCATATAAGTAGAACTGAGTAACTGAGTTCTGGCCAATAGGTTGGGAACACAAATGCTTTGGCTACTTTTGGGTTGTACTTCTGGAAGTGCAGATCTGGTCCTGGCTTTGTTCCTCTACCCATTTCCTACGCAGCCATCCTGGACCCAAGGATGGAAGCCATATGTTAAGGATAGGTAAGCCAAGAAACAAGCCCCACACGTGTTTGGTGAATGATAGTATGGAATATTATTTGAGAAAGAAACTCACACCTTGTTTAATCCATTGTGTTTTGAGATATATTTGTTTAAAAAGGTTAGCTTATATCTTAACTAATACTAATCCCAATACTAATACCAAATATTAATACTAGGATTGAATAATATACCATGAGAGTATCTATTTTGAGGCCTAAGTTATAGTAGCTGCTCAATAAATTGATGATGAACTTGAACTGTGTAACTTTGACAACTTAAACATTTATTGTAGGATACATTATGTGATAAAAATGGTGGAAAATTCCAAAAGGAGTAGAATATGGCCCCCTTGTTAGAAAAGGAGCTTGTGTTCTAATAGGAGATGTAGCTTCTCTATTGTTCTTCCAAGAATAGCATTAACAGTATTATCAATGGAATTCTAGTCATTGCTACAAGTGGCAAAAGTGGTGGAAGCTTCTGAATGGCCCCCAGTTACTGTCTCACATTCCCCTACTGGAGTTGATCTCCAAAAAGTAATGACATCCCAACTTTGGATCCCACCATGCAAAAATAACACCTTGCTGTTATAACATTAATATCTTTCTGGCACATTATCTCACCAAATAAAGAGGGTATATCCAAGCTTTCCCTGCTGTTTATGCTTTGTGGAAGGCTAATTAATCAAACTGATGAGGACTATGACACAATAAAATAGAGTTCATATGGGCAACTGGGAAGAGGGTTAGTTCTAGGAGAGTGATCAATAATGGCAGGTATAAAGGTGACTGGCAAATATGTCACAAGTGTAGGCGCTCATTTGTTTGTTGCGGGTAAACCTAAAGGATCTGCACAGAGCTGGACCACGTAGAGCAGTCATGGCAAACGTTTTAGAGTCTGAGTGCCCAAACTGCAAGCCAAAGCCCACTTATTCATCAGAGTGCCAATGCTGTGCTGTTATCCAATGCTCTGCTGCTGCGGCAGTGCTAGAACAACTTGTCCTGAGTGCTGGCAGAGAGGGCTCTGGGTGTCCGCTGCAGCACATGTGCCAGAGATTCACCACCACTGACATAGAGCAAAGTGCCTCCTACGGTCAGAGGAGCAAGCCCATCCCTGGCCCTTCAATCCCTAGAAGTCACATAGCACCCAAACTATCTCCCTGATCAAGGGAGCGCAATGATTCTCAATGGCTACACATTAGAATCATGTAGGGAACTTCCAAAAATTAGATGCCCAGGCTATTATATCCCTGCTCAATTAAATTCTAGGGGTGAGACCGAGGGATCGGGCATCATGCCCAGCTGTCAAAGCTCCCAAACTGATTCCTACCTGCAGCAAAAGTCTAAGGCCTTTGTGTTAAATCTTTCAAGTTCATATATTTCAGGCCACTCTCAACTGACCTAAAAATTGGCTATTGGCTCACCTGATTTTCAGGTACA